ACGCCGGCGGGGCCCACAGCATCCTGAGGCGGGCGGCGGGCTCCAGCTTCTGCTGCCTCTCCTAACCAACCCCCGGCTTGCCGCCGAGATAAGCGTGAGGAGACTGTGGGATGGAAGGGGTCCTCTCTCCCTGCATCTGGGGCTGTGAAAGAGGTCCAAGGAGAGACCTGTGTAGTCATTTCCTTGCAAAAGGAAGATATTGCTTTTTTTCACTTTGCCCAGCCCAGGTTAGACAGGTAGAAAGGGCCCACTTCTGGCTGCGTGCTGGTCCCTCTTACTAAATCCCCGGTTATTCAACTGCCTTAGATACAGTGTACACATATGTGACCTGTAACGACCATCATTACACCGTAGCTCCGTGCTGGGGATGGGCCTTAGGCTGTAGATCTCGAACCATATTTAATCCGACACCACCTGGAAAGGCGAGGCAGGAAACAAATGTTAATAACTTGTCCAAAATCAGTAGCAACGTCTGGGTGTAAGGCAGCCTGGCTGGTTCCAAAGGCTCTGGCCCTGCAACTGTCTGCTACCCTAAATAGAGGGGAGGCGGCTACCACCAGCTGTTGGTGGCAGGGCGTTTGCAGACCTTTCCTGACACTGCATCCTAAAGTCCTTGAACCTGCACCATTCGGTGTGGTGGGCCTAGCCACAGGGAGATCCTTCAATGAAAAGTTCCTCAGTCTCATTAGCCCATTTTGAGTATCTAGTGGCCACATGTGGCTAGTAAGTGCTGTATTAGACTATTTCCATCTGCAAAAAAGGTCACCGCACTGTTCCACAAGAAAAGATAAATGAATGTTCGGTAGCTAACACAATCAATCAGTCATTCAATACTTATCAAACACCATCTGTGTGGCAAACTGCCGGATGCAGTGGACAGAGCCTCGAAGGAAGTAACAAAGCTCTTTCCCCGTGTCTACAAGGTAGTGCTGTGGACGCGCAGCAAATGCATACAACGCATAGATCCTCTCTGACCATGGCAAATGCTGTGGCTAAATAGGATGGTGTGCAGAGGGTGATGTAGAGGAGAAGGCTGCTTTAGATCGGAGAGTGAAGGAAAGTTCCTCTGGAAGAGCTCACCCTGTGCCCCTAAAGCAGCACCATTCCTGCAATGTTCAATGTTCAGAAAGGAGAGGGGAGAGTGGTATGGAATGCAGCCAGAGAGCAGCACATCGGGGACAGGGAGGTTTGGGTCGGGATGACATGATCAGAATGATTTGAAGAATAGGTCAGAATGTAGAAACAAAAAAAAATTGAGATAAATTTCTAATACATTTTACGCAGGGTTTAAGTAAATATCCAACGTAATGTTTTAATGAGATTGTCTACAGAACAATTTCTAGTTTCATATCAAAGTATATCCACTCATTCCTTTACCCAACAAATATTAACTTATCAACTATTACGTGCAAAGCATTAGGTTAGGCAGTGGAGAAATACAGTTCAGACTCCACAGAGCTAACTCTTCAGTGGAAGAAACAGTTATTGTGATCAGTTGTGGAGGTATAAAAGAGGTGTGTGGTCTAGAGGGAAATAAAAAGTGGCAGGAAAAATACAACAGTGAAGGTTTAATGGAGGAAGAGGCTAAGATGTAGGAAAATTCAGTTTGGTGAAAGTGGTAGGGATAAGAAGCAAAAGCTATTTCGGGCCAAAGGATTCTCAGTGGAGAACACAGTGGTAGATTGAAAGCCCAGGAAGGGTGAGTGCAGGTGGAAACTGCCCCGGGCAAGCTGCTAGCATGCATAAGGCCAGGCTGGCAGGGCCTTGTCTGCACAGTACAGATTTTGGTCTGTTTCCTAAAAACAGTGCCGATGCATGGAAGAGAGCTGAAGCAAATAGATGTCATGGTCATATTCCCACCCTGAGAACATGATCCTGGGGATCACAGAGGGGAGGGCACGTCCCGTAGTGAAAGTAGATACAGGGAAAGGATCAGGGTGGAATTTGAGCAGCTCCAGGGAGAGATGACAGTCTGGAGAGGAGGTGAAGAGGAAGAATGGAGCTGAAACAGACGACCAGACTGGGTGACTGGCAGGACACAGGCACAACAGGAGACAGACACGTGAAAGATGGTGCACAACCTTCAGGCTTTTGCAGCTTGGTAAATTGTTGCTGGTGGATAAACTGGCTTTTTGTAAAATGCTTTTATTAAGTAAACTTTTTAATGGAATGAAGCATAACGTGCGCAAAGGGCGAACAAGTTGAAAGTGTAGAGCACTGAGTGACGGAGCACCCTTCGTAAGCAGCACCCAGGGGACATCAGGCAGAAGTCCCCAGGGCCCCTTTCAGCACCCCAGAGGCATGGAAGGGGTTTTAGGCAGACATATAACAGGTCTTCGAGATGATTATTGTTGCCTGTTTTCAAAGGCAGGTTATCAATTTCACATCAGCTTGACTCAAAATGATGGCTGAAAGAATCATCTATATTATTACATACAGCAAGAATGTGTTCCTTCTTACTGCTCTACAGACAAAAGCTACCAGTATTCATAATGAATAGGTACTTGGCTATTTTCACTTTGGAAATATTTCCAAATTTTGTTGCTGTTCGGCTATGCACAATGCAGTTAAAAATACTCTTGCGCGTGCTTTTTGGTGAACACACGAGTACATTTCAGACAGGAGGTGGAGTGTTAGATCGTGGGGTGGAGGGAACCTCTTTTTAGCAGAACTTATAAGAAATAGAATTCCTTCGAAGTCAAGACTGAAGTGAAAGCAGGAATCCAGAGATAAGCAGTGAATGTCCAGCCCACCCAGCACTCTGGGACTCTGCCCATTCCCAAGTCCCTGGACTTCCACTTCGATGGCCATGTGCCATGCAGGGACAGCAGATAAAGTCGACGACCTCGCCGGGTGGGAGGAAGGATAGGACTGTGCTGCGCAAGTGTCGTTTGCAGATTAGTTTACAAACGATCTGGTGCCAGTCCCTGTTGAGATATGTGCAGAAACAGAAACATTCTTAGCAATTTGACCGTGTATTGACATTCAAGTGACATTCCATTTCTCTGGTAATTCATTTTGATTTTACTTTACAAAAGTAACTGTATAAAGAGTATGAACAGATAGTTTGTGAAACACCCTGAGGAAATTTATGCATAAAACTCTGACTCATCTCCAATGAAAAGGAAAATAAATATATACATAATAGATATAAAAAATAATATGTTTGTAATATATAATTTAATAAAACCATAGTCTTCATTTATCTGATTATTGACAGAGAATAGTGATTACATGGGAACTGTCTCATCAAAGCTTAAAATTACAATCTGGCTTTCAAGAGTTTCTTACCCAAATTCACACTTCTGTTTACTGTAAAAACCTCATGGCAAGAATTAATGTTCAAAGAGTTTTTTTGTTTGTTTGTTTTTTGGGTTGTTTGTTTGTTTTTGGTACCAGGGATTGAACTCCGGTCCTTGCACTTGTGAGGCAGGTGACGGAACCACTGAGCTAAATCCCCAGCCCCGCCAAGAATTAACTTTAAAGTGGTCCTGGTTTAAAAATGGTCCCATGCACGTAGCAGAACCAAACCCAAATCATTTCTTAGAAGGAAAAACAAAACATAAACTTCAAAGAATTCCAACAAAGAAGACTCATGGAGCATTTGTTCATAATGAAAAAAATCACTGGTTTTGTGAGGAAGGGGAAGTCAGTAAGTGATCATAAACAATAGATTACCAGCCTCGGTGCACAAAGACTTAGGATATTGAAATTATTCTACGATATATGATATGCGTATTTTTAATTTAGAAAATTAAATATTTTAAAAATAAGGAACCATCAAGTGTGATTCAGTATTCTCTAAAAAATGTGATAGGTGAAATTTAAAATCTAACAACAGAGTTACTTGTATTTACTTCTGATGG